CCCCCCTTTCCCCCCCCCCCCAATTCTGGGACCAATAAGGACGCGGCTCCGTGCTTGTTTGTGGTGTTGAGGTTAGATTTTGGTCTGTGTGCGTTCTAATCATTAATATCAACTTATTATATTGTACGTTGGAAGACAGAAACGTGCGAACGTGTAAGCGTATGCATTGAAAAATGTTCTGGTTCGAAACATGGAGCAATTTGAAATAGTTTATGTTTCGAGTGCATGTAATCGTACTCCACATAACGCCGACTGGGGTACAAATGAGTTGATTTGTTACGGTGCATCTCATTCTGTTGCATTATACGATCCTAAGGTTCGTTGAAACGTATTTTAGTTTATGTAACATTAGTACAGGCACATTAACTAGGGTTATTTCATTTGTTGCTGTTCAGATAAAGGATTTATGTGATACTAGTACAGTAGTTAGGTTAGGAATATGTTCTAAATGTGTTGCTTACTTGAAATGTTAGGTAAGTAGGGTTTAGCTTTGTGCCATGCAGAGGTCACGAGCAATATATACTGTTCAAGTCTAGTACTCATTTGAGTGTTCCCCTTAGATAATAAATTGTTGAGTTCATCACTATTTTCTGAAGTTATATCCATGATTTTTTTAGAATCAGAATCTGTCATCTTAATTTAGTAAAAGATGTCTTAGTAATATGGAAGATGAAATACATTTCATTTTATTCAGTTCGTTTTCTTTGTAGTATGCTGATGCTGGGAAGGTGCTGTCAGTGTTTTGTCAACATAAAGGACGAGTGAACTCAGTTCGGTGGATTAGACATAAAGATAGATTTCCAGAAACAGAATTTGTGTCTGCTTCTTCTGATTGTACTGCTGTTATTTGGACTAGAACTTATGGCTGTAATTTCTCTCCTACATCTATCTTGAAGGGTCATCAGAATACAGTTACTGTTGCTGATGGTATTTATGTGTCAAGTAGAAATGTTGATTCAACTAAACAGGCTGCAATTATTGCTACTGCTTCAGTTGATTCCACAGTAAAAATATGGATTCGTCATGAAAATGAAGGTAATATTATTCCTAGAACATATTGCTAGAACACATATATATTACTTTACAGACATTAAACATGTGTTTGCTTTGTGTATTTGTGCTGAAAAATGTTATCATGTTGGGAAACCACCTTTTATGTTTGCAAGATTTATGCTAGGTTGTTATCCAGTGCTGAGTGTTGATCAATAGGTCAAATAATAGAGTTGGATTTACACAGTTTGCAGACAGATGCTTGTAGCAATTCTAGTAGTGTTAGAACATATTTTTCTTGTATTTGTACATATAGAGGAGACTAATTTTGTTAAATGCTTGCTGTCACACAGTTGAGAATCTTTTTGTCTTCCCATCTACTCTCTGAAAACATAAAGGTTCAAATATGAAAAATTATAATATTACTTGTTGTTTTGTATGGGTGTGAAATGTGGTCTCTCACATTAGGGGAAGAACACAGATTGAAGGTTTCAGAGGTCAGGGTGAAACAGTATCTTTGAGAAAATCTATTTTTTCCACCTCCATATATCTTGTATGATAAAGCATTTAGTTGAAAGACAAAGATTTAGTGATTAAATAACAAAAATATTAAGGTACTTGTGGGTTATCGGGACACATCGCTTTAAAAATAGGTTAGGTTAGATTATGTTAATGTGTGTGGATAAATGACATATACTTGAAAGTTATTTTATTTTATTTTAATAAATGACAACTAACCTAACCTAATCTGTTTTTAAAGCGATGTGTCCCAATAACCCACAAGTACCAATATTAATATCACAACTGTAGAAAAGTTAAACATTTCCTTGAATGGTAGCGTGATAATGCATAAAAACCACTGTTTATGTATTTTGTTATTATTTCAGATGCTGTTTGTTTGCAGACATTGAGCTTTGGCTCTGGCTTCTGTCTATGTGTGCGCCTCTGTTTTCTTCCTCAAACAGAGATTGTCCTGCTTTCATGTGCTGCTGATGATGCAAAAATCCATTTGTTTGCTGAGAGTAGCAGTGGTTATACTTGCTGTGATGTACAGGAAGGTTTGAAGCCACATACCAAGCAGTTTATCAAAGTGGACAGTTTGGTTGGCCATGATGATTGGATCAGAGCTATGGATTTTACTTTGGATGGTAATTACTTCTGCTTTAGGGACCTTCTACCAGTTTGCTTGTATGGCAACTGTTCTACTTAATCATTGTCTTTCCTATGTTCTTCCCAGGTTTGCTGTTTTAACAATTATGTATTATTTTCAACAGATTCAGACCATCTTCTCCTTGCTAGCAGCTCACAGGATTCTTTGATTCGTTTATGGCGAATTGCTGCATGTGATGAGAAAGTGGCGAGACAAAAAAGGAAACTGATAAGTGAGTTAGATTTAGAAGAAGATATCCAGCCTGAACAGAAGTTCTTCATGGTGCAGGATGATAGAGAAGCAGTACTGTATTTTTCTGTCTCTCTGGAATCAATTCTGGCTGGTCATGAGGGTTGGGTGTATGGAGTAGACTGGCATCCGCCCGTTTACTCAGGCAAGTTAGGGAAGTCTGATAAGAGCACTATGTAGACCTCTAATAGAGCACAACATTTAAAAGGTGTACTGTGAATTTACATATTCGTCATCATCATCATCCTTTTCTGTATTAGGCCATGAGGCATGTTACAGTCTTGTATTTTCCATCCATCTCTTCTGAGGTTGGCCATCAGCGTTAATTTACATATTATGTTTTCAAAAAACATTCTTTGTTATTTTGCATGCCTCATTTATTTCTGGCAACATCTCTTATTTTAAAAGCAATTATGTTTTCTCAATTGAACTGGAAGTAAATTGAATGAAGTGCTGAAATCCTAAGAGAGACTGAATTATAAAGGCATAAATTATTTTTCCTTGTATTTCTCTGAATATGCGTTATACAAGTATAAATGTTCCAAATGTCATCTGTCGTTTTCTGGCTCAAAGAAGATGTTATCCCATTTCTTATTTTTGTATAATTGAGAAATAATAAATCTTGTTTGAATGAAAATTAATGTTTACTTTTGTATTCCTACGAACAGAAGACAAGAAGAGGTGTACTCAGCCCATGAAACTTCTTTCCTCGTCTTTGGACAAGACAATGATCATCTGGGAGCCAGATGTCTCATCAGGAGTTTGGTTGGAGTCTGTCAGAGTTGGTGAGGTTGGAGGAAATACTCTTGGATTTTATGGTAGTAAATTTGGCCCTGATGGTCAGAGCATTATTGGTCATGGATATCAAGGATCCTTCCATCTCTGGACCTGTTCTAAAGTAAGCAATATTTCAGTTTTAATAAGTTGTATCCAACAATCGAGATGCTGTAAGTTTAATGTTTTTAAATGAGCTTGGTGTAGTATTTCATTGTTTTGTTACAATTGTTTGAGGTAAATATGAGATTTGACGTTCTTATGTCGGTGAAGATGTGTGTCTTCTGGGTTGTAATGTCATGTGGAACTGGAGGTACGTACCGATGCTTCAGAGGAACATATTTACGACACCTTCATGGCTAATTTAATGCTGGAATAATATCTCAGTACAGGCTTACTACTTCTGTTTCTGAATTGAGCCAGATTTGTTTTACTACTCACCTTCGTAATGGATTGTAATGATACAATAAAAAACAGCTATGAAAAGAAACAAAGTTATTGTGTTAAAAATTCTTCAGACTGATTTACTGATTTATTTTTAAAGGAGCTGGGGATATGGGAACCAGGTGTGACTGTGGGAGGCCATTTTAGTGAGGTTGTTGACATGCAATGGGAACCTGGTGGCCAGTTCTTGTTTAGTATCAGTGCTGATCAGACAACCAGAATCCACGCTCCATGGGTTAGAGATGATCATCGTGAGGTAAATGGTCTACAGATTTGCTCTTTTTGTGTGTTAGCTGAACTGTGAATAGTAAATTGCAAATGCCATGATGATCTAATGTAGACAGGTAATCCATATTGTAAGGACACTATCCTGGCAGTTCGTCTAAAAGCCGTTGATGGTAAACAAAGATGGTGAATCCTAAATGCTGCCTTTCCTGCCCACTACAACAGAATGTGAGTAAAACTCTCTAGAAATGAATTATTTTCAAACAGTATTTAAAAAGGAAACTTTGGAAGTGTGTTTATTAAAGGGTTTTTCATACATTAGAAATAAATGAACTTATAATTTGTGTAATTTTTTACGTCTGTTTGTGGTGGAGGTATCAACCCCTCGAAGTATGTACATTTTGTGAACTATTCATTGTTCAGTTTGTTTTTTTAAAATATGAAGCCATTATTAAGTAACAGTCAGAATGGTCTCTACGTCTGGATCATGTTGAAAGATTGGTTCTCGTGTTATGATTTTGCTTTGTTTTTGAACAGGTCACGTGGCATGAACTCGCCAGACCCCAGGTCCATGGTTACGATTTTTCTTGTCTAGCAGTTTTGTCACGGTACAGATTTGCGTCAGGAGCAGAGGAGAAAGTCATTCGAGCGTTCCAAGCACCAAACAATTTTGTTGAACTTTTCCAACAGATATGTAAAGCAGAATGTGATAAAGATTTTGAAAATACTGATGGTGAGTGAAGTTATTCAGTAGTTGTACACATGTATTTTAAATGAGACATTGTGTCCCTCATAAGACTATCAGCAAGTGGCATATCAGAGTCACTTCTGGGATGTTTTGTGAGCTAATTAGTTGACGTAGGAATGCTTTGAACATGTAATTAAACTAGTACAGGTTTTGTTTGTAAGGTGGTGTAAGGTATATGCATATAAGGTGTTAACCAGAGTGTAAATCCAATCATATTTGCAATTGTTTTCAAAACAGTTAATGGGCATGTTTTGGCAAGTATTATTAAAATGTTATTTGCTTTAAAAACATACCACTTTTTAATTTAATTAATACAGAATTGTTATTTATGCATTGATTTGTCATTCTTAACTCCTTCCAAGAAATGTCATGGAGCTAGTTTGCAACTGACACAGTATAACTTGTAAATGCTTGTGAACTTAGCATTCACAAATAATTTATAATCTCAGCTGGCTTATTCCCAGACTTGTATGAATTAAAATTTTATGTAATGTTCAAATTTTAGGTTGCTTTTTGAAAACACATTCAGAATCCACCATTGGCAGCTTTACTGTAGCCCTATTAACTGTTCATTTTCTGTTGTATCTGTAACACTTAGTGACATGAATTCATGGTCATCTTCAGTCTAAAATTTACTGGTATTTATAATTGTATTTTTGAGGTAGACAGTTTATAGTTTAATCATTAGTAACAAATTATTTAAATAATCCTGCAACAAATAATCAAATCATTTAAATAAAATTGGGCATGACATTGCCCTGTGAGACAATTATATAAGCACATTAAAAAAAAAATCTGTCCCACTATATGCCATATAAGTGCTTGGGGGAGATGTTGTATAGCTCTTACTCATTTTTTACCTTGGCACTAGATGGGGTGAGTGGTCAGCATCACGCCAGTACAAAGTGTTATTTATTTTACTGAAATAAATAGTGTATGGTATTTTTCAGCCTCAACACTTCCTCAGGGTGCATCTGTACCTGCATTGGGTCTTTCTAATAAAGCAGTGTACGAAGGTCAGGAGAAGCCAGCAGAAGGACATATCAGGGATGAATATTCAGAATTCTACTTTACTCCAGTAGATTTGAAAGGTATGAAGATTGTGTTGTTTAGTGTTATATCTACTTTATTATATCTAAAAAATTATTTGGAATTGCAGGTGTATGTATGAATCTACAGCTGTAAGCTTAAACTTCAGGAAAATCTGCAAATGCTAATAATAATAATTCCTTCCCAATAACTTAAGTCTCTTGAAGTATATTTGGTATGTTGTTTTGGTTTTAGGTAAAGACATATTGGTATAAAAGTATTTTGTGATTGCATTCTTGATTTTAACATCATTATACCTGTAAATGTGTTGTTGAATTCTTTCAGATGTAATATGTGACATGGTGGTTCAGTTTTTTTGCTATTGGAAACAATTTTATTTATGTGAAAATTGGTGGAAAAGAATGCAGGATTAAATATAAAACAATTTTATTATTCTTCATGGATTCTTACATGTGTGTAAATGGGCAGTGATAATTGTCTGTTCTTCAGATTTCAAATTTGAACTGAAATGTTCATGAATGAAATTTGGACATTTAAGACATCACTAATCCTGGCACATTGCAGTCATTTCTGAATATAGCTGTTTTTTTTGTTGTTTTTTTGAAAAAAATAGAAGTATGTAATGATTGGCACTGTTCCTGTTCCAGAACCTCCTACTGAAGAAAATCTTTTGCAGAACACATTGTGGCCAGAAGTTCAAAAACTTTATGGTCATGGTTATGAACTGTTTGCACTTGCTGCAAGCCATGATGGCACTCTTCTGGCATCAGCATGTAAAGCTACCACTGTGGAACATGCGACCATCATTATCTGGTTTGTACTCATGTACTAGCTCTTAATTTACATATTTATTTAAATTAATATAGCATTACTGAAAGAGTATTTAAGATATTTTAACTGTGTAAGTTATAAGGGAGGAAAGTATTAAAAGAGAACATAAATGCTGACAGAACGTAATGGCTTTTCTCTTTATATGATAATTTGTGCCTCTTAAGGGACACGTCAACATGGAAACAAATCCAAAAGCTTGTGTCTCATCAGCTGACGGTGACCCAGATGGCATTCTCACCTGATGACCGTTTCCTGTTGTCTGTTTCCCGTGATCGTCGGTGGAGTCTCTTCCAGTTAAAGGTTCCTGAATTAGGTGAGAGTGTAATAGTGAAAATAAAGTCAGTGTTCTAATCCAGGTACAAGACCACTTATCTGGCAAGCTCAGGTCTGATTGCATGCCTGGTTTGCGGATTTTCTGGATTTTTGGTGTGGTAGTGGGTACGGGCTGAGAAAGATGGAGGTTGTCTTTATCAAAACAGTATTTTTTGTGAAGATGTTAAAATATTGTTTACAGAATATGTCCATTAGTTGAATTTGTATCATAAATTTTGCACCAGTAATTTGTATGAAGTATGTAGCATTGAAAGAAAGTATTGTTCTGGCATTTTCATGTAAGGTTGGATGAAAAACACAAGATGACCTCAGTTGAGAAATATAGTATCATAACCCATAAACACCAAGTTAAGACTACTCAGATCCTATATTCTCTCTGTGCTTTTATACGACGCTGAATCGTGGACGTTGACCGAAGCTTGTTCAAAATAGTTGGAGGCCTTCGAAATGTGGTTGTACTGACGTATTCTCAGAATTTCCTGGATTGACCGTGCAATCAACAAAAATGTTCTCGAGAAACTCCGCAAAGACGTTGAGATTGTTAACGCCATAAAAAAGAGAAAGTTGGAATATTTCGGTCATATCATGAGAAATAGAGATAGATACGGGCTGCTTCAGCTGATTATCTAGTGAAAAGTATTCGGAAAGAGGGGACCTGGCAGGCCAAGAATCTCCTGGCTTCAGAACCAAAAAACTTGGTTCTCGATGTCCACTGGAGGGCTGTTTCAAGTAGCAGCCAGTAAAGCTCAAATCGCTATGATGATCGCCAACATCCGGAACGGATAGGCACTTTAAGAAGAAGAAGAACCGAGATTTAGACTGGGCGCTTTCCGAAAACACTTGAGACATAAGACTACTTTAGAGGTAACATGCTACTTTATAATCTATATTTTTTCTGTTTGATTTTAGAAAGCAAGAACTACAGACTTATTGCGAGTACTGATAAGAAGACAGGAGTGCATGCTCGTATTATCTGGTGTTGTAGTTGGACTCACGATTCCAAACATTTTTTTACTGGATCTCGAGATGGTAAAGTAGCAGTATGGGGTCATAATGGAGTAACATCTGAGACCACATCTCTGCTTGGTCAGTACACTTTAAGCTCAAAGCCACTTGAGCTCCAAAATCAGTCTGTTACTGCTCTGGCTGTGGCTCCAGTTAATTTTGCCCCCAACGTATACCTGGTAGCTGTTGGACTGGAAAGTGGGTGCATAAACTTATATAAGTGGTCGTCTGTCATTGGAGAAACTGCAGGCGATTGGCAGACATGTCTGGAACTTGACAATTCGTATCCTTTCTGTAAACAATTTAATTGTTGTCTGACGAGTAAAGCTATCCTGTTACGTGCCACAGAGGCACATGGGAAAATGGAGTTATAGCTCCTGCTCGTTCTTCATCTCAGTACTAGAAGATGGGGGTGAGTGGTCATTGTCTTGCCACAGCCACACTTTAACACTTCTCTTCTTCTTCTATGGCTCTCCGGTCCGTATTCGGTCCATGGCTTCCTCAATTCTCCTCTTCCAATCGGTCCTCTGTTAGGTCTGTCTGTCCGAGGCTTTGATCGAGGTTTTGAAACATCTTCCTTTTTACGGTGCAAGGTTGTTAGCCTTGCGACCAACCCCCAACCTGGAGGACCAGGGTACCTGTCTTAGTCTGACCTTTCCCCCTCGACCAATCTGGCTAGGGAGGCCCTACCAGTAGCTTTGCTACTGCCAGCATAGCTCTTGGGGTCACTGAGATACTCAAGCCCCACCACCACGACAAGGTGCAGGTACAATTAAGTGGGGAGTGCAGCTGTCTAGCATGAAGAATTTGAACTTGTACATAAATTTCACGTGACTGTTACAGTGTTGAGTTGATTTTAGTGTGATTTTGACAAGTGTTTCTAAATTTTAAGTTACAGTTCAGAATATATCTTGTGTGATGGCTGTTGTAAACAGAAGTCTGACATTATTTTTTCTGAAGTATTCAAATTATTTCTACTGCTTTCTCTTAACTGATTCTTTAGAGTTGCACATCACCTGGCTGTAAAGAAACTGGCATTCCGACCACTAGTGGCCTTTGGAGATGGCTGTGATGTTAGCAATTTGAAGAAACTGCAGATGTCAAGCTGTGGAGCTGATCATGCTGTTAAAATATTCAACATTCATGTGAACAGATTGTGATTATAAATTGATTTTGTATTTTTAAGAATAAATATAGAGGAAGGTTTGTGGATGTATGCTTTTTTTACTGATTTGTTTGTTTTGCGTGTTACATTTAGGAATGAAAATTCATTATTACTCTAGTTCCTATTGTAGTACGTACAGGTATGCTGATATGTGCTGATCTGTCATTTGTAAATATTATTTGAACAGTCTCTCATTTTGATTTCAAATCCATTGGCATGAACATTCTTTTAGCACACCAGATTAAAATTGCAGTGGAAGTAAGAAACTTTAAAAAATTATACATTAGTGTTTGTATGGAAGAAAAATTATGCCCCACTTTTCGGTAAGTAAGAATTTTCAAAATTATATTTCGACAGTTTAGGACAGTATCTTTAAGTGTTTTTATTCGCCATATTGTGCTAGGTGTAAGTAGACTCTAATTCTTATGAATTTTATGAAACAAAATGGCAGATTATCGATGTGGTTGCGACTGAGCATGTGCAAGTTAGTTCAGAAGGGTGGTGCTTCTGACGCTGAAATGTTTTCATACTGATTCAGAACTTCGTTCAGAGTTCTACCAGATGGCAGCATGTGTCAAACTTTATTGAACTCTGAGTCAGAGCTGTGCAAAGCGTCGGCAGCTTTGGTCGATAGTGTTGGGGTTTGGCGTTTGGTTGGGAAAATCGGTGTGATTTGATTGAAAACTGGAATCCTGATATTGCATTATGGCCGTGGAAAATGCAGTTAAAACGTAAAAAATGTTGTGGATATACTGTGGACTCTTCCTGTCTCTCGTTGGAGCGCCCGCGCCGGCTAGCACCGTTTCTCTGTCAAAACGAGGTAAGCGCTTCACCGACTTCAATTAACACAGTTTATAATTCATGTTTGCGTATGTGTTGTTCAAACATTCGGCGCGATTAGATTAAGAAAGCTGTGGAGTGTATTTTCAATAACGTGTTTTATGCAATTAATATTTTCACAAGTACCGGCACAGTGCGTTATTAACCCTCCAATTGACTGTTCACAAAGTCGTGCTCGGTCGTGCAAGTGGCAGGTGTTCCGATGTGTCACACGTTCGTGCAAGCAGCACAACTCTTACTGTGGCTGGTTACGTCATTCGGACTGTCGTGAAGTTTAATTATTGTACAAGTAGGAATTTTGTTCTGCATATCGCATGGCGATGTGAAGCAGCAGTATTATGCAAGATTTCCATACATGATTTACAAGGGCTCTGATATCGATACAAATATTTAGGTTTTAAATTTTTCTGATACCGAATTAAACATAATTTTGATACTTCACGGAGGATCGTCATTTTGTGTATAGAACGCTACGTGGCTGAAACAAATAGCCTACGCATTCTCTTAAACGTAGTGTTATTAGCCTATATGATTCTCATGGTAGTTTTAGGTTCCTGTAATTTCCTCCTCATTGACTCTCAGTATAACGTTAGGGGGAATTAATTGGGGCAATGTTACATTGTGGAAATTAATTATTCCCACCACCCTCATCTGCTCGCTTGGCAACTGTTCCTTGTTTCTGTGGTAACTGTATGCAAATTTTCTCTATTCCTCCCCTTTCCCCTTCTTCGTTTCACTCGATTTTCTATTTTGCATATTTCAGTGGTGGTGACACAGTTTGAATAATAACATCATGTTATTTGTATCTCTTCAGGCCTCATAGACCATATACAGGTAGTGAGTGTACGCCAAACGTCTCCACGAAAGTTTCATGGGTAGGCCTTGCAGAGAATTAAGAGACGGTGTCGCTCGTCAGGAACATTTTTTTTTAAAATAAATGCACGTAATTACGTTGGCGAAAGAAAATGTTGGTTGACGTTCGGAATATGAGGTCTCATATCTAAGCGTTAATGAAGTCATACTGTCAACTACTAAATTAATTAATAAGTTAGGAGAGATTTTTAATTAATTTATTTAAGGAATACATTCTAACAGTTTTAATAGTTCTATATAATAATATTTTGTGTTAAAACTTCATTTAGGCTCAGGGACTTCACAGTAAACTGCATTCACGACGATTTAGGAATTAGATGCTTCGGTATGGGCCATTTTACTAGCGACCGCTTTCCTTTTAGCTAAGCTGTGATTCATCAGCTCAGCGTAGAGACCGATCGACTATCGCAGGGCGTGTTTCAGATTTAATTCTTTTTAAGTATCCTACCAGTGGCATTTCCTACCCAGTTAATATTCCATTATCACATTCAACGCTTGTAAGTTCTGAAGCCGAAAACAACATTGTTAATTTACGAATTAAGAATAAACTTTGGCAAAAAATGTTTTAGTTGTGACGAGTTCAAATGCAATGAAAAAAAAACACAATAACGTAATTGTAGGATCGGTTTAGTAAACCCATTCGCCTACGGTAAAAAAACAAGGATTTCGGGTGGAAGTCACAAAACCTTCTTTCCATATTAAACAGATTTTTAGTGCTGCAAATTTTGTATCGTTGATGTTAAATTTAAATACTACAAATTCATAACCCAACATTAGGACATAATGTATCACGTGATTTGACGTACTGAGCTCGTGCGTAGTCGTATGAAATTTCACTTAAATCGATTTGTATTATTATTTGCAATTGTAAATATTTTACAGACGTAGATAATAATTTTATTTGGAAAATCTTTGTACCCTTCTCAAGGATAGATTATATGTTAAATTTCTCGGTTATACCTCAGTTTTTTTTTCCACAGTCGCTATATTTATAATTATTGACTTAAAATCGTATTTTGTACATAGAGTGCAACTACTTTTATGATCTGTATCAGTAGCAGATTTCACATGTCTGGATCCAGAGGTTTATTAGTGATCTGTCAAATTTGGCAAAATAAAAGTTTCGCTAACCGTGTCATTTTATGTTCTACAAACAGACTGACGTGAGGAAACATATCTTATCCGGTCTTTAAACTCCTGATTCGTCCGAGGAACACACAAGTTGTTAGTTTAAATTGGAACCGTTCCAGCCCAAACTGTTGTACCAATTTGATAGCCCAGTTCTATGCAGGTGGTGCATTTATAAGGGACACTGGCGATGCTGTTGATAGTTTCTTGGATTTTACCATAGTCATGTACTCTGCAAAGCCATTACGTTTCGGAAACTGGATCTACTCCCGTCTTCACGTGAAAGGTACCTCCATTGACGCGGACTCAACATTGTGGATACCTTTCATCTGAAGATGGCAGTAGGTTCAGCTTTCGAAACGTAGTGTTCTATTTGTAGAATATGTGGCGATGAACAAAGTGTAAGAAACTCTAAATACTAACGGTAAGTTTCATTTTAAGCGTTAAAGGCGCTGCATATTTAGACAGAGGGGACTGTCAAATGCGGATGAATTGTAATGAATTTGAGGAAGGCAACGAAGTGTTGAATGGAATGTAAAGACACCGCATTTAACTCTAGTTTGTTTCCGCTCGTGTGAAAACTAATAGTTTTTTTTGTTACTACCACGCGATTTCATGTTCGTTATATACGCACGCTATGTTTTGGGACCATTTAGTGTTCGGGTACCCGACGTCGCAGGCAAGGCTCGGCCCCAAGTGGCCTAAAGAGCGATAAACGAACAGTATTTTATACGCATTTAGTTTATTTATCATACAATAAAGCCAAAACAATAACCGAGTTTATTCAGTAGCTGTTGGGCCATTTACATCTCTCTGATCTTTACTTGATTTAATCTCTGGAATGTAGGACAGTGTCGACATAATGTGGCGTTTTCTTCTGGTCTTAATATCGGGTTAGTACTTTCTATTAGGCCACGACCACTTCCTTCTACATACTTCCTGATTCATGTTTGTAGTTATCCTTCCATTCGCAATTTCTGATTGTTTTTAGAAGTTCCCAACATTGCCGAATAAACGTCGTATTTGTGGGGGCCTATTGGGGTGTACTCTTGTTATTCACAGGTGTTGGGTTCAATCCCCGGTCAGGCCTGTGTTTGGATTTTTATGCTCAGAGCACGCCGTCTTTGGCAGGGAACAGAATCCTCTCTGTGGGTGCGTCTATCTCAAAAATTGATTCACTGAAATTCCCGGCTAAGGGACTATCACTGCTGTTTCGTATTCGGGAGGTCTTTGGTTCAAATCTTGGCCCGGAGTCTTGTTATCCTGATTGAGATATTTAGTAATTTTCTTTAGTAATTTCAGGAAAATACCGGGTTAAGTCATAAGTTAGGCCATGACTGTTTCTTTCCATATTGTTTGTTACTAATTTCTATCATTCGATGCCTTATATTCTGACTTAACTGACAGCGTCGTTAAATGAACCGCACATAAAATGGGTTCTTTCCTTCGCCGATGTGGGAAGACGCCAGGGACGTCTCACAGGTATTAACGAACAAGGAAACAAACAACATCATATTTGTATCTCAAAGTATGATGACACTGCATCTTCTCAGAAGCGAGAGAGTAACATTGTTAATTCCTTCTTGCCTGACGAAAGTCGTTGATTGAAATCAATATTGTGACTATTATATGCATTATTTAGAAGGAATTTATAAAGTAAGCGGACGCTGGGAGATGCTCTGTGGCTGTCTGCGCACTTATCGATAAAGGCTACAAAGACTGGCTAAACCTTTACTAAAATTCATCGGTCTGATTTAATTATAACGCATGTCAACGCAAACCAACAATGGAACTTCATAAAACAATGTAGAAAAGTCTGTGAATAGTACAACATATAGATCTCATTAAAGCCTGCAAATTTTATCTACAACGTGCTTCAATACTTGATGAAGGAAAATGTTTGATATAAATTAACCTTAAATCTAAATAGTACTAGAATTTAGTCCGTACCTAAAAGAAAACGCAACATTTCTACATTATAATGTTAATGCTGTTTAAGGAAATAATCGCTCTTAACACTGAGAATCATGCGAAACTCATGAATACAAAATCCAGTTTTGCATTATTAAATTTGATGGTACACTTACTTACCAATCGATTTTAATAGATTATAGTTCAACTCTTTGTGTAGTATGATCTGATTAGTTTTGTCGTCAGTAGATTCGTATCGGCTACAACAATCTTGAATGTGAAAAAAATGATGGAA